GGACCACTGGATCAGGGCCCGCCCTTTTATTCTGGGGGGGGGTTTAGAATAATTCCAAAAGGATATGGGCCCATGGCCTGTTTTTCTTGAGATATTGACTTTTCAAATTTCGGGGTAATACAGCAATTTTTATTGTGTATCACTATATCGTATTACAAATGAAAACGTGCTGCAAGCTAAAAATTTGTTCATAAAGTCATCTTATTGTCGGCATATTAATATGAAGTTTCAGACGATTAAATTCATCTTTATACGGCATGATAATTTTTTCGTCAATCAAAATACATTATAGATATATCAGCTCGATGATGAGAGATAAGAAGAAATGTGTATTGCTTACAATTTAGCACGTTTTATTATAGTGTCTGATAGAGGTAGCGTTATCGTAGCACACAGAAGCATATTGTGCTACACGTGATTCGAACGAGCACCCGTGGTATAATATTTCGTTTCTCGCTTCATCCTATAATCAGAAGAATGATTAGTCCTACGGAAAGTGCGAAACTGCTGCTCGATCGTGTGACTGAAAACGAAGAGGCACATCGTCGACGATCAAGAATAAATCCACGCGAGGAAGAAATCATCGGTTCCTTATTGGAAGTAATCGATAATGTTTGCAACTGCACATCGTATGAAATCGAATCAGATATGAGCCTTGATCACGATGATAATGAAGAATTTGGCGATTTCGAAGATGAAAATGCTGATTCTGAAAATGAAGATGTTGATTCCAGTTTCGATTAGACGGTAGAAGGTGAGAAGATGCCAATTTAAGCGAACTCCAGTCTCGATTACATGAAAATAATTACTGAGTATTACGATGCATGTGACTTGAATGGAAGAAGAAAATACACGTGGAAGTCTACACAACATCGATTCAAATATGTTTCTCACCGGCAATATATTGCTCGTTTTCGTCACTACATCGAACAACATGGTACAAAACGAGAGAAGATACAGACTATAGACGATTTTGTGATAAATTTGAAGAAGCGCGAGACGGTGCTTTGTCCGTTCATTATCGTGATTTGAAAGATGGGCGCTCCAAAAAGCTGCTGAAGATCCAGATCTTATATTTGAAGCATCCGAACATTGGCTGCAAGTCTTCAAATATCGTAATCGTATTTGTTCGAGAAAAATTACGAAACTAGTGACTCGTCATCATGCAGATGATGCTGATGCTATTATTGCGTCTGCCGACTCCTTTTTTAGCTGATGTGAAACGGGAGATGAAGAACTACGCACCTGAAGAAATTCTAAATACTGATCAGTTTGGCTTGGAGCTAGAACTCCACTCTACTAGGACACTATTGCAGAAGGGTGGAAACGTTACTATGGCTCGTGTGAGATCAAGAAATGCTACAACACATTCTTACACTGTCCAACCGATGATATCTCTTGCTGGCAAACTCGTCGGTCCTGTCTTTCTTTGCTTGAAAGAGCCAAAGGGGAAGATGAGCGACAGTAATTTAATTGACTAGTTGTCTCTCATATACTTAAATGCTGTCTTTTTTCTATCAGATATCAAAAGCAAATTGTTTTGCCTCGAACGTCATTGTGACATGCAGTTCTTCAGGAAAGCTCACCACTTCATTAGTCGAATACTGGAGGGATCACGTTCTTCGCCCATTCGCTCCACCAAACTCTCTCTCTTGTTCTCGGATTATTGGTCTGATCAGCGAAGTTCAGACATATCTTCTGCTGTCAAAGGATATAAAAGACTGGAAATACCCGTCCTTACTACATCGCGCATTCAACCACTTGATGTGTATTTCAACAGACAATGAAAGCTAATTGCTCGGCGTATTTTCGATCATATTTAACTCGATGATATTGCCATTAACTTATCTGAACGAAACAATATAATACGCTTAAATTGTCTCATTCACAACCAGCTATCCTCACCTTTGCTCACACCTATGATCAAGTATTCATGGTTTGCATCAGGATACATCGAACAACATCCAGGAGATTTCGAGTCCGTCAACGAACTTTGCTTTAATGTCGATAGTGGCTTTTGTCAGCAGTCGAACTGTCATTTGCTACCTTTTATTCAATGCAGTTACTGCCGTAAATTTCTTTGCTTCGAGCATTTGTTTGAAGCTTATCACTATCATAATTAGATATTTAATACTTATCTATGAGATCGCGTTATTTCGAATATAATTCTGACACCAAATAAAATTGAATATCTCTTCATTGCGTTTTATGAGAAAAATTGGTTTAGACCTCACCAATAAGATATATTCATGAGAAAACTTTTAGCTTGCAGCATGTTTTCATTTGTAATACGATATAGTGATACACAATAAAAATTGCTGTATTACCCCGAAATTTGAAAAGTCAATATCTCAAGCAAAACAGGGCATGGGCCCATATCTTTTTGGAATTATTCTAGTCTATACCTTGATATACCGAAAATATGAGCTCTAAAGCGGTGAATCACTTCGTGTGATTCTCTCGTTAGTCACTTAAATTTACAAAAACAAAATATGTCAGACTCATAACACTAAAAACAGCCATCTATCATCTTCTCTTTCGTAGATTTCGGCTCTCTAGAGATCCTTGCTGCATAATTATCGATGAAATCTTCATACTTACTTTCCAGCCAAGGTTCAGTCTTACAAACTTTTTTACGTTGGTTCGCTAGTGAGTCACGATAGATTTTCCTAACAGTGAGTACAGCTCCGTCTATATCTATCGTTTCTTCAGTATAAATAGTATTATGAGTCAGACACTAGTGAGCTTATAGTATCTATATCTTCTTTCCCTAGAAAGTCACTATAAATGAAAGACGAATCCTGCGGAGACGAAGATGTTGAGAAAGTCGCGATACAGGTAGATATATGATGGTAAGACCTGTACTTTCTTTATAGGCGTATAACCAATTTCAGTTGTCGACAACAGACTTGACTTTGAAGCCACTGTTTTAACATTGCCCTGTGCACACGAAGTGACTTTTCCATTGAAATTTTAAGTTTAAGTAGGAGCTATATTTATTCTTACGAAGCCCTGTATATTTACTATGTTTCTAGTACTATACTGCTTTAGCAGAGATAAAAACAATAAGCTCGAAGAGATATATGAGATGTATCTGAATCCTTTAGATAGATCACGAGCAAGTCTTCGACATCGATCAAAATGCTTATATGTCAGTCTTGCACTAAGCATCATGTTCAACTTGATTATGGCTGCAAGTTTGATTATAAAAATAAAAAAGTTTACTCAAGGTAAGCCAATTAAAAAACAACTTTAAAAAAAGTATTTTTTCGCAAATTATTGTTGACTATGTTCAAAGGAAAAAATCTGTTAATAGGTACCTTGTGTTGTAACGATAATCACTGGCCTCTCACTAATAGCAAATGATATCGGTATTGTTACGTCCCTAAATGATGATTCCTTGTGATTATTGTTGAATACCAATGAGTATCAGTAAATATCGGTTATCATTACTGGTAGGCAAGTTAGGGGGCGACATCGATTATCGTTTCGGACTGGTGAACCGATGACGATAGCCCGGTACATGGTCTTCATTGTTGCATTGCTAGACTAGAGCATCAGTCCGTAATCTTAAGATGACTAACTACAGTCCTTGATATTTGTATATATGCTTCTACCATTTTAATTTGATATGTTCGATAGAACCCTACTTGTTGAGGAGCATGTTGTTCCTTTACTCTTATCCAGCAGGCCGTTGAACTGAAATACGATAGGAAAATGTTCACTCTTCGTTCATTAGTCCCTTCCAAACGTTTGGAAAATGTTTCGGCTAAACTACTTAGTCGTTCATTTTGTATTTGCAACATTTTCGACTCGTTAACCTTTTCGCGGCGATGTAAGCCATCGATGGCTCACGGTATACTTTAACAAGAAGAATGATAAAAAAAACGCTTTTCTGCATTTTTTTTTCTAAACAATAAGTCACGTTAGCCCTTTACTGACTTCGTTCACTGTTTGATCCGTTTTATTATTTATTATTTAGAGGAATGTTTTTCATTGAAACAATCAAGACAAAAGAATTTATTACGATCAGGACAGAAAGTTTTTATTCTCTTTTCTGCCGTCGCACTTGCTTCTCTTGGTTTTTCTTGCCTAATCTTCTCATAGCACCCAACACATCGTCTTCGGACACTGCGCGCAGATCCTTCCATTTCTTCGAATTTATGATCCACGAGTTTGCGCTTCGTTTGACTTGTTGACTGTTGTCTCAGACCAGGTTCTAGGTTCTCGAATGACACACCAAAAAGCAAAGATCGCACAAGACTTTCACGGAACTGTAACATCGTCATATAGTTTGTGTCATATTTTTCTCTGTAAATCAAATAGGTATTAACTACTTCCATTCCAAATATCATTCAAATCATTCAAAAACTGATCTAATAATCTATACCTTGTTTTCCTTTATTGTAATCGAGGACAATGTGCGACTTCATGATGCGTTTATTTGGTTTATTGGTTTTCTCGTCGTCTACTCCGTTACTGAATGAGAAGGCTTTGTGGATATCATCAAAACATCTCTTTTATCTTTCCACTTGATCAATTTTATGTCGTTTTTGCTATGGAGTTCATAAACTTTATCAGACTTGAGCTTTTTCTGAACAACTTCACGTCCTGGTCCGGCGCGATTGCTTCTCAATGTTCCGATAAGATACATCTCATTCCGTAACAAATTTTTTGCCAGAGAAATACTTGTAAAGAAGTTTTCAGGGATGATAGTTCGATATCATCCCAACAGACCATCTGTCAAATTCATTACGACAGTTCGAGCGTGTCCAAGACCAGCCATTGAATTCTGCTTACCAGTATAAACCATAAAAATCCAAGTGTATTCGTTAGTAGTGTAACGAATTAAAGAAAGATGAGATGACGGGTGTGTCTTCAGTCTCGATGTTGATATTTATTGAGTTAATTCATCATTCTATTAGTTATGACAAATGGAAAGGGATACGAGTCTATGCCTTACAATATGAGGTTTAACGGACTCTGATTCAGCACTCAATGTGTACGTCTCGAGTGTGTATCTTTTCAAGTTGTTCCTCTCCAAGTGTGTCGATTGTATATATAATACACGCACATATAGTAGAGTGTTCAATAGAAGAGAGACAGAGAGAAGGAGACAAAAGGGAGACAAAAGAAACAGAGGTTACAGAATGCAATCACATATAGATAACAGTAAGAGTGAAGCAGCTGCCTAAGTCAATAGCTATTATATACCAAGACAAAGTGAAGGAGAGATATTGTGCAATCGCAGTGATATAAGTCTCGCACCATGCGGTGTGAAGGACATTGTCAAGTAATCGTGACGTGTTACTTGGCACAAGTAGCCGCTAACTTGTACGCCTTTGCGCCATATTTGTGCGCTTTTCCTGGTATCTACTGTTTGAACAAAAGTTTGCCTTTCCATGATATCATTGTTTCGTCGATGGAAATAATTGACCGGGGAATGTAACTCGACTCAAATCCGGCTTTCAGTAAATCTAAAAGTGGTTGTAATTTAACAATGTGGCTTGATTTCCATACCCTTCTTCGTTGTTCGAAAAATGATAAAAATTGGAGAAGCAATTCAAATTTATCCCTTGACATCGTGTTTTGAATGACTTTAGATCCATACAACTTGCGTTTGCTCCGGTAGTAATCCACTTCTGGCATTTGTATCAATCCCATCTCGATGATAATTCCCAAAAATTCCAGCATTTCTTTACTAGTACTTGGTTTCTATCGACGTGTTTTTAACCGTTTGCTAA